TATATATATATATATATATATATATATATATATATCCGTCATCCGCAGTTAATGGGTTAAATGCCAAAAACAATGGCTCAGTCCTAGAAAAAAACTACTTCCGCCCCTAAAATCTGAGCTCCATTTGCAGAAAGTGATGCTTTGCATTTGGTGGAACATCAAAGAAGTAATTCAAATCGAACTTCTCAATGCACAACTAACTGTCAATGCAAAGATCTATAGTCAGCAACTAGAATGTCTAAATCAAGACCTTCATCACAAACGGCCTTCACTCGTCAATTGGAAAGGTTTGTTCATCTCCACGACAATGCACGTCCACATATGGCAGATTTGACGTAACACGTAATAAATGTTTTGATATATATATATATTTTGATAAAGCAACATTAATTTCTTGATGACCTAATATGTTTGGGTGTCAACATGCCTCATCCTCCACGTTTATTTCACTCCTCTGCATTGGCTTATCATAGGTTAAATTTTGTATATTTGGACTCTCAAACCTTGGAGTCTTTGATGCAAGCATGGGGATCCAATCTAGAGATCATTTGTTGTTGGGAGCTTCTTGGCAGGTATGCTATCTTGTTACATTTGCATCCCCATGCTTCCTATTTAACTCTTTTTCAGCACGGACTTGGTCTCTGGGACCGACCTCGTAACCATTTTGTGCTTGTTATTATTTTCATGCTATAACTTTTAAATTAATAAGCAAATATTAATGAAATTTGGCAGATTAACAATAAACATTACAATGCTTTCATATGCAAAATATCTAATTTTTTTTTTATTATGTCTTAAAGTTTGTAAAGCAGTGTTTTTCTCATGCCTTTTTTTCTTTTCGCATGTTGCCTGTCTTACATGCAAAGTAATTTTCATTGTGATATTAAAAATATTTTTATGCATCAGAAATTTTTCAAATTTCACATGCAAAATCTTTATAATGTCCAGATAGTTATCAAATGTTTCTTAAGAACAAAATCGTAAACCACCATAAAAGATTAGTTAATAAATATAAATTATGCCTCTTTCATTCTAGAATGAACATGGATTATAACACAAAAACATAAATGTTTAGACTAAATAGCTTAAATCTTATAACATTATACATTTATATATATTTATTATTTTTATTATGTTGACTTTTCACCCATGCCTGGCTAACAATAAAACATATAACAGTAAATAAAGAAGTAAAGCAAACAATTATCTCATCTAGTTACAATCTTTATACTTGGTTGCTTCTTGATATAGGTTGCTAAGCTTTTAAAACGTTTTCACTTGGAGGATATGAAACAAAATATTTTTTTTTAGGTTTTTTATATACATTTGGATAATTAAAAAATCATTAATTACACATCAATACCATAGAATTCCACTATAATTTATCAAGTTTAGTGACTAAGCTCTATTTTAGTCTGACAAAATATGAAACTTTAAGCAGTCTGAAGACACAACCTACCTCCTTGAAATTTTGGTTCAAATGAAAGAAATGGCATCCTAAGAGTTTAAATGGCCAAGAAAGCCACTAAGAAACATTCTGAGGTTTTGATTGGTTATTCATGTCATACATAGAAGTAAGTGTATATAAGGGAGCATTTCCAAAAAATGGAAAGAGGTGGGTAGGGTGCCACTGTGTTTGATTTATTAATGGACAATATACTTGCATATAGAAAAGATAAGACATTCTTATTTTATATTCTAGCTTGTTGATATCAGTAACTTGAGTTTGTAATTCGTATGAAACTATAGACTTAGTATTTTGACTTCACAAACATCTAATTTCAACCAGTGTTGCATTCAACATACGATGTGACACACAAAAATCGATGTTTATCTGTGTTTTTAATATTTACTTTTAAAT